AATTGTCATTCATTACTGGCAATTCCTAAGCTGCTGATCGAACTATCTAATTTTTGGGAGACCATTGTTGAATGATGGGACAACACAGCCTTTTTCAACCTTGGTGACTTTTAAGATGTGTGGACTTCAACTCCCACAATTCCCCAGCTTGATTTTAGGGTGTTGTTTATAGACACTGAGAAATAGGTTTTATATTTAAACACCGTTCAAAAGGGACGATTAAAAAAAAAAGCGAAGAAAGAAACAAAAAGGAACTCATCCTCTCCAGCAGCCAATGACTAGATAAGCAGGGATTAATACCAGACAAATGATCAGGGAGAAAACAATACCCTTAATCATACTGGCTGGGAAATTCTGGGCATTGAAGTCCATACCTCTTAAATTATGAAATGCTGGATTAAAATGTTGGGTTAGAGTTGGCTAGCTTAGTTCCAAGGCCACCCTTAGGCCTGGAAACATGCTGAGTTGATATCAGGAAGGTTTTCTTTTCAAACCTGCCTACTTCACAGGGTTGTTGTTATGGGGACAAATGTCTTTGGTTATTCGGGTCTTCTCCCACGTAAAATTGGAAGTGTCTTGGCGACGTTTCGACGAAGCCTCATTCGTCATCTTCAGGCTGGTGTTCTCGGCTTCGTGCTTCCAGGAGCAATGGAAGGAGCATTGCTCCTGGAAGCATTGCTCCTGGAAGCACGAAGCCGAGAACACCAGCCTGAAGATGACGAATGAGACTTCGTCGAAACGTCGCCAAGACACTTCCAATTTTACGTGGGAGAAGACCCGAATAACCAAAGACCTACATACAAACACCCGCGAAAACCTGAGAATATATATATATATATATATATAAATATGATCAGCTGTATTTTGAGATCTTCTAGATGAAGCTGGCCAGCAACTCGAACCCACCTCTGGATGGCCTACCCCTGAAGGTGGTTGGAAAAGAAATTAAGGGGATGTTTCAAGTGTATAGAGGTAGTCCTTGACTTACGACCACAAATGGAACCCCGAATTTATGGTGCTGAGCGAGCAGTTTGTTCAGTGAGTTCTGTCCCATTTTACGACTTTCCTTGCCGTGCTTGTTAAGTGAATCACTGCGATTGTTAAAGTAGTCACACCGTTGTTAAGTGAAGCTGTCTTCCCCATGGATTTTGCTTGTCAAAATGGGATCACGTGACCCCGGGGACACAACAACCGTCATAAATACGAGACAGTGGCCAAGCGTCCGAATTTTGATCATGTCGCGTGAGCGCGGGGATGCTGCAACGGTCGTAAGTGTGAAAAACGGGTCACAAGTCCCTTTTTTCCCCCAGAGCCGTTGCAACTTCCAACGGTCACTAAATGAACCGTCGTAAGTCGAGGACTGCCTGCGTACGGATTCATTGCCATCTTAGTTGACGCTCGTCTTCCTTCTTCGGCACGTCAACCACACGGCGTAACTATGGGAGAAAATCCACGCGGCGGTGGCAGGGAAGAGTCCTCAACATGGAGAAAGGATCTGGGTTCGAGTCAAGCCATCTCGGTTTAAAAGTTCTCCAGAACTTTTTATAGGTTGGTTCCAGGCTGGGAGATCCGTCCCTTGTAAGAAGACGCAGCGGTCCAGAGTAGAAAATCCATATATTATATTTTTTTTGTGGGACTCCAGATTTGTGTTTGTTAAGGCAAGTTCCTGTGCTCCGGCTACGCACACACAGGTGTTCGAAAGCCAACAATATCGCATTGGTGCAGAATTCGATTTGTGATCCCTGTTTTAAATCTCTGGAGCAAAAGTCAAGACCAAAAAAAACCCCAAACACATACGCACAAAAATATCCACCACGCAGCAGATCCGTCTCGAGCGCCAGTCGTAACCGGTTCCTTCCTATCTAAGAGCGCATGCAAAGAATAGAATAGAATAACAGAGTTGGAAGGGACCTCGGAGGTCATTTAGTCCAACCCCCTCCCCTGCTCAGGTAGGAAACCCTAGCCCGTTTCAAAGAAAACTCTCTTTCCCCGCCACCCACCCGGCCCCCTTATCCATCGGCAAACAATAAATAGGATAATAAATAAGATAAATTAGAATATTTAAATAGAGAATAGTCCTAAATTTAGGGCAACAGCGGCTCTTCTGGTGCGCTCAGATTTACCGGGAGAATTTGCCAGAAGGAAAAAGGTGGACAGAGCTTGGAGCTGATATTATGAAGTTTCACACGACCAATTACAGGTAGTCCTCGACTTACGGCCACAATTACAGGCTGTCCTCAATTTACGGCCACAATTACAGGCTGTCCTTGACTTATGGCCACATTTACAGGCTGTCCTCGATTTATGGCCACAATTACACATAGTCCTCGATTTACAGCCACAATTACAGGCTGTCCTCGACTTATGGCCACAATTACAGGTAGTCCTCGACTTACGGCCACAATTTTATTTTATTTTATTAGATTTTTAAACCGCCCTTCTCCCACAGACTCAGGCTGTCCTCGACTTATGGCCACAATTACAGGCAGTCCTCGACTTACGGCCATAATTACAGGTAGTCCTCAATTTACGGCCACAATTTTATTTTATTTTATTAGATTTTTATACCGCCCTTCTCCCACAGGACTCAGGGCTGTCCTCGACTTACGGCCACAATTACAGGCTGTCCTCGGCTTATGGCCACAATTACAGGCTGTCCTCGACTTACGGCCACAATTACAGGCTGTCCTTGACTTATGGCCAAAATTACAGGCCGTACTTGACTTACGACCACAATTACAGGCCGTACTTGACTTACGGCCACAGTTACAGGTAGTCCCCGATTTACAACCGTTCATTTAATGACTGTTCAAAGGTACAACAGCACTGAAAAAAAGGGACTTAGGACCATTTCTCACACTTACGACCGTTGCAGGATCCGCACGGTCAGGTGAATCAAAAATTCAGAGGTTTGTCAACTGACTCATACTTATGACGGTCGCCGTGTCCCAGGGTCATATGTGATCCGCTTTTGCGACCATCTGACAAGCAAAGTCAATGGAGAACGCCAGCTTCACTTAACGACCGTTTTAGTCATTGAACAGCTGCCGTGATTCACTTAACAAATGTGACACGAAAAGTCGCAAAATGGGGGGGTGGGGGAGTCCCTGAACGAATTCCTCACTTAGCAACATAAATTTTGAGCTGAGTTGTTGTCGTTAGTTGAGGACTGCCTGCACTGGAGAAACAAGAAGAGAAAAGGGAAAGGAGACCACAAGGAAATCACAAGGAAATGTCCGGGGCTGTAGACTAGACTTGAAAAGTCAAAATTGACCCCCTTCACTGTCATCACCCAGAAACCCACGTGATCCTGAGCAGTCCAGCTTGTTTTTCAATCGTTTTTATTTGTGCTGTCGGGATCGTTTGAAAAATGTAAGCTGGACCTTGTCAGAGTCACCGGGATGGGAGACCACCAGGAGAAGCAGCGGCCAATCTCTTCTGCATGGCTGCCAAGGAAACTACCTGGCTGGACATATCCTTGAGGATCTCAACCGTCAAACTTCACCCAAAGGAGAATTTTGGGGTCAAGAATCATCTGGATCCGAGATATAGTGTGTTTTTGTTGCTTCAGGGTTAAAGTTTGTAGTCCTCAAGAGCTGGCAAGTCTTCCCTGTCTATGATAGTCCACCTTTTTTCCTAGCTGGCACCCCACAGATTAATATTTCTCATTCTTAACAACTTTCAGATAGGTGGACTTCAATTCCCAGAATTCCCCAGCCAGCATGGCTGACTGGGGAATTCTGGGAGTTGAAGTCCACATCTCTTAAAAGTTGAGAATCATTGCTGTAGAACAGGTGTCCTCAAATATGGCAGCTTTAAGACTTGTGGACTTCAACTCCCAAGCTATGCTGGCTGGAGAATTCTGGGAGTTGAAGTCCGCAAGTCTTAAAGCTGCCATATTTGAAGACTTCTGCTCTAGAATATAGAATGGCCATTCAATGGAGCCATTGGCAAGGGTTTCCAGGGGAACGGCGGTCAAAAAAAGTCAAGATGGCAGCTATCAAAGCCCACCCCTTTAAAAAAAATTGTTGCACATAATTGAAGATATCACATTGACATTTTTTGACCCCTCTCCCAGGCTCGGATCGCTGCAACGTCAAAGCTTCCCAAGCCTTTATCACTCTGGTTCTAACCAGAAAAGCCACTGTTTTTTTAAATAACATCCGCACACTGGCACCCACGCATTCACACGTTGTGTTCCCGGATCCTTGTTCCACAAAGGTTCCCAAATCCTTACAGCGGAGGTCATGCTGTACGCCAGTCTTCTTCAAGCTTTGCCCCTTTTTGAGACGGGTGGACTTCAACGCCGGAGGTGGGTTTCAGATATTGTTACCCGCCGGTTCGTCGTTGCGCGCGCACACGCTCGCTTCGCGTGCAACTTCCGCGCGTGCGCCCGGCCTTCCATGCACACGCCCAACCTCAAAAACGTGGCTGAATAGGATAGCATAGTGCTGAGGCAGGTGCGGGGGGGGGCACAATCTCTGCTACCGGTTCGACCGAATCTGTACGAACCGGCTGAATACCACCTCTGTCCAACTCCTAGAATTCCCCAGCCAGCCGTGAATTCTGGGAGTTGAAGTCCACCTGCCTTAAAGTGACAGAGGTTGAGAAACACTGCGGTAGACCCTTCCTAGTCTCCACCACCAGGCGAGTCTTGATTTCCAAGCTACCCGGGGTGGCTTCATCGGTTGGACATCTACCTCTCCGAAGAGCCTCCCTGTGTAGATGAAAACTACCGGCTTTTGTTCCGTCCTCAAAAAGTGTCTCTCGCTGGCCGATCGTATTCGTTCCACCCACCCACCCACCCCGCAAAAAAAGGCAGAAGAAAGAGCAGCATTGAAATAAATAACGGGAATAAATAAATGAAGGAATAAATATGCCCACGGGTGTTCCGAAAGAGTGGCGCGTCTCCCGTATAGTGTCCAGAGGAGTCCAAAGTTTCTCGCAGAGTGCGAAGACAAGCAGGGATCACATGAGGGGAAAGTTCCCTTGGGAAGACCTTTATGTGAGCAAAGTGGGCGTTTTATTGCTTTCGTTGAGTTGAAGGAAGGGGAAAAGGAAGTCAGGAAGCAGATGGGCTTTGTGGTCCATTTTAGATCTCTTTTCCCAAAGCTCCTCCTATAGCTGGATTCACACAACACGTCAGATTTATCCAATGCCATTCCTGCATTCACACCTTACGCTGGGCCCAAACTAATCACCTTATGGCTTCACGCACCTGGCTGAGGCAGCTGGTGTACTCCCAGGTTGGACCAGGTACCCCCCCGGCCCCAAACTTCATCCAGGTAGAAATTAACATCTTCATTCTTTCAACCTTCATTCATTCATTCGTCCATGCACGTTCTCTTCTCTCCGATCCCTGGGTGAGTGAATTTGAAGGTTGCCGTGTCAGCGTTTGCAGGCTGCGCACAGCAGGACCGAGAACCCCACTGCAGCCTGGTCTGGGTGTGTCGTGCGAATCCAGCCACGGATAACATTCACGCAACATGGTTAAGCCAGGTGTTTGAATCCATCCATCGTCTAGGTTTGCACATTTCTTCAACGCATGAATTAATCGAGAGTTTGGAGACAGATCGCCTTCTGGGGCTTCATCTACACATGTACGGGACCTGAGCAAAGCTAAGTACAAACCAAACTTAGCACGTTGGGCAGGTGTATCTACCGTCTTGACTTTGTTGGGTTCTACCTGTTGTGTGAACCCAGATACTGAGTTTTAGGAAGAGAGTTTCGCTGAGGTTGCAGTGCTCGCCTTCCGTCTGAAGACCGTTCCCCGTAAAATGCGGTGTCCTGCGATTCTTCCCACGGATCCTCCTGGTTCCAGCAAGGTTCCTTTTTTTTGTGATGTGGGAATAAATCCCAGGACGACCGGAGGAGGCTGCAGGCGTGGGATTCTTCCTGCCCCAGCTCGGGGTCAGTTCTCCGCCGGGCAGGCGTGTTCCGGCCCTTTGAAGCAGGCAGATTCGTAGTGTTTGTGGAGGTAGGATTTGAGAGCGAAAGTCTTGTGGCATTGCTTGCAACGGTAGTGTTTGAGCGCCGAGTGGGTTTGCATGTGTGCGCGTAGGTTGGAGCGGTCCGCAAAGGCCTTCCCGCAGTGCGAACAGCCGAAGGGCTTCTCCCCGGTGTGCGAACGCATGTGTCCCTGCAGCAGCCACGGCCGGCTGAAGGCCTTGCCGCACACGGCGCACTTGTGTTTGAGGTTGTGCTCAGCAGGTGCATGGCCAACGCTGGCATGGAGACGTACGCTTTGCTACACGTCGGACACTTGCGCGCCAGCTTGCTATCCAGGCTGCGGTGCGTCTGCTTGTGCCGGCTGAGGTTCGAGGAGGTGGCGTAGGTCTTGCCGCATTCCGTGCAGGCGTGGCGGTGTGCCCCGCGACGAGGGCCCTCGGCCCGCCGGCGGGACCGCCCGTCGATGATGAAGAAGGCGTCCATGGAGTAGCTCTCGGTGACGGCCGCTTCGCCCTGGAAGTAGTGAGACGAGAGGCTGGATTGGGGGCTCTCGGGGTCGCTGTAGTCCTCCTGGATCGGGGTGTAAAGGGGGTCAGGAGAGGCCCCTCGGCGGCGGGTTTTCTTCTTCTCATTTTTGTAACCTGAGGATGGGAGGCAGGCTGGGATGTATCCTGCGAAAGAGAGAGGCACACGGAAAATGTTTGGTAATCAACCAGCCTCTCTCCACCAGTATCTTTCCACCAATAACCAGCACCCAGAACAGCATAGATTAACTCCAAGGTTAACTTCAGACCCTCCCCCACCCTTCCTTCCTTCCTTCCTTCCTTCCTTCCCTTCCTGCCTGCCTGCCTGCCTGCCTGCCTGCCTGCCTGCCTGCTCACCTTCCATCCTTTCCTCCTTCCTTCCACCTCCCTTTTTGCCTTCCTTCCACTCTCCTTCCTGCCTGTCTTTCCCTCCCTCTCTCCCTCCTTAGAATGGGATAGTGTAGGGTAAGGGTAGAAGGAGAGGCGGACAGGGAGAGAGAGACAAAGAAAGGGGGAAGAAAAGGGGGAGGAGAGGAGAAGACGGGAAAGGAAAGGAAAG